TCTCTATGCAGTGGCTGTCTGTCTCAAACACCAACAACTGGCTGCAGGTAACCATCTGTCTATAAAGTGTCATCCTTTAAGATACATGCATGGCATTACCACACAGTTCTTGCTGGACTGTTTGCCTGACCTGAACCCAAAGGTTTTTGAGAACAGACATATCATTTGACTTTGTATTTGCCATGTCTCCCATCATTGTCCAGTGTGGTTAATGAATTAACAGTGAACAGAGATAGATTTATACATCGCTATCTATCAGCTTGAACGACCAGACTTAAAATGCACTCTAAACTTAGTAAACTGTTTCTTACACTTTGTTACAATGCATGCTACTAAATTCCTAGGTACCTCATACCAACCCACTCACTTTATAATATTGGCTAATGTCAGCAAATGGCATGGAATAATGTATCTTGAAGACAGACTGTAAGCCCCTTACAGGCATGCTTGTAAACTTGTTCTCTTTTTCCTCTTTAATGTCTACGTACCAATCAGCCTCATAAGAACTTGTTGAATGGCATAGATTTTACCCAGAATTCTTTCAAATGGCAATGGTCAATATACAACCCACACTCAAAGATAAAAAAAAAAAAGAAAACAAAGAAGAGGAAGGTACTGACTATGTAACTGAGTGAGAAGTGACCTGGCCTCAGGTGCTTAAACTATTACCAGAAGGATATGTCACTGTCCTTCTTTATTTCATGTTTGGCTTTTCTGTGTTTGCTTTCTTGTGTTCATATGAAGACATCTGAATTACCTGGGGTGGCATCACACCTTAGCAAACATGTTGAGGGTAACTCTTCAGTCTCTTCCCTTAGAGATGCTATCAGAAGAGGACTGTAACTTGCCAACTAGATATGGCTGTCATAGGTAAGCAACTCAGTGTGATCACAGGAATTAACTCAGGATGGCCAAGTGTATATCATCTGCCTATATCTATAACCAGAGCTCCTCTCCACAGGGCTGACTGAGAAAGCTGGCTTATCAGTGACTGAACACAACTCATTACCTCACTGGAAATACATGAGCAGCCACTTTTACCAACAGGGTTTGTCCAAGGAATTCTCTGGCAATGCAGTCTTTTGACTCTTGAAGCAAATATTGAGATTCACCTTCATAATTGTATATCTTCTCTTTGTTACCTTCAGGAACGTTTCAACATACAAACCACTTAATTTTTGTTTGAGATTCCATCATTAACCCTGGAAGCCTAGGAAATATTATCTTCCTGAAGTTCTTTATCAGCTACCTTGAGCCTTGGTGATAGCATCATTACCCAAAACTGAAAAATCCATTCCTAGTTCCATTTACATTTAAGGGGGGCATGCTTTTGTCTAACTGAGAACCTGGTATTAAATCTTCCTGAAGAAATGAGGAACAACTAACTAATCCTTTATGTTTCCTATAAATAATAGGTCATTGATTGAACAAATAATTGACATTCGTGAACGGGTTGAAGGCTATCTAAATGTGTAGCTTATTCACTATTTGAATCTTATTTGTGTTTTTCTGCTCTAGTTCTCAAGTGAATAAATACTTTATATTGTTCCATGAAACAAATATATTGTAGTTGGACAATGGTGGTGCACACATTTAATCCCAGCACTCGAGAGACAGAAAGAGGCAGATCTCTGAGTTTGAACCTAGCCTGGTCTACGGAGCAAGGTCCAGGACAGCCAGGGATACATAGAGAAGAGAACCCCTGTCTCAAAAACAAAGCAACAACAAAACAATAGTATCATATATTGAGCAGACTTTATTTTTCTTTTATAGGTAGCTGAAGCCAGACTATTCTATAGCATTCATGGAGATCAGTAAAGATATTAAAAACTCAGAAGAACTTTGGAAAACGAAGCCTCAGGGGAACCTGGAAGATAACAGTTACTCAGTAAAATAATGGCCTATAATAGCTAATAATTAAAGTCTGTATACTTCAAGTGTATTCTGAATCTCCTAGTGTTGGGAAGGGCACTCCATTCTACTCTGCTGATCTCTGTGCTCAGATGCCTGTAGCTGAAGCTGTTTGGTACAATTGAGGTGACTTGACCAGTTCTAGGGCCTCAGCTGTATACCCTCCGTGAGTCCCTGAAACTCCTGGGTCTTGCATTTCTGTCAATGAACTGGACCTGACTGTCTCCAGAGCCCTTTCAGTCTTTCAGAACACCTGTGCTTCAGAGTTTAGAAGCAAAAGTCATGATGGCCTATATACTAGTAGTTTTGTAAGCATTTTCATAGGCACTGTGATAGATTACCAGAGAGTCCACCAAGTCAGTGGTGACTCACTCACTGTTTAACCAAATAACCTGTCTTTGTGCAAAGAATCAGTTATCTCACTTTTGGTCAATAGCAATGTTTCTTGCAACATCATTTAAAAGTGGCATGAATTTATGGTCCAAACATTTACCTTTTTAATGTATTTAAAATGCAATTCTAAAAGTCACAAGTATATACGACACAAAACAAAATTATTTTCATTTTTCAATTTAGTTCTCTTGTTGCTATATCATAATGTTTAGACAGAAATCTGTTCTCTCTGGTTCACTCACACAGTGTTAACATTTGGGAATTACAGAGCAAATTCCTTTCTGGGTGGCATGATTAGAAAGACATTGGATAGAAGAATGATTTATGTCAGGTGGCAAGAGAGGTCATCCTTAGACACTGGTGACAGTGGAGTACTGAGGGGATTAGTTCTGTTTGCAATGAGGACGAGAGCCTGAACATCCAACAGTAGTGGAAGCTTCTCCTCCAGCACACT